TATTTATAATTTGTAAAATTTAAAAGATTAGAAAATATTAATGTAACGAATTATATTAAAATAATTAATTATATTGCCATAATAATAGTTTCTAAATTATGGCAAATTTTATAAGGAAATGTTTTAATTTTTTAATAATTTTGGAAATATGCATTAAATATGTTACCAAATAATGAAGATTTACAATTAATGAGGACTTTGTATAAGTATATGGAATAATTAATTCCACGTAGGATATGAGTAGGATGCCACATAGATATGCCACGTGTCGATTTCTTAAGCTATGAGGGTTTCAATTTATATATTATATAGATTAAAAAACAAATTTATAATGAGTTGTATTGCGTGCCAAGGCAGTTCATATGGTTGTTTAGTAATTTTGCGACAATTAGGGTTTTTGGGGTGTGTATTAGGGTTTTAGGGCTACTTTAACATATTGCGACAAAAATGAAGAAAGCGATGGTGGTTTCTTCGGCGGGACTTTGTATAGGTTATTGCCTGGGTTTGTTACTCAACGAATCTCGGAAGGAAAAACATGTTTTAATAAGAAGCTTAAAATCTGTTTCAAGATGGATTTGGTGCAACTCAATCGACTACTACAATGCACTAATAATAAACCCCGTTCCATGTTCAACGGCCGATCAAGACGCCGTTCCATGTTCAACGGCCGATCAAGACGACTCTTCTTCGCCAAAAATGCCAGATGGCGACAATGGTTTGCTATACCAAAATATACACTATGCCGTTTTTTATTTATGTTTATACAAATTCACGTATCAAACTTTTGTGTGTTTGTTTTCCTTTTTCCAGAACTTACCGCCGAAATAAGACACGTTTCGCCTCACTTTCTGACCAAAATCGAATCGTTCTCCTTGCTTTCCGAGTACGGGATTGAAAAGTACGAAACAAGAGTATTCGAATCCGGAGATTACAAATGGTATGTCGTTTTACTGAAACCTTCAAGTCGTTTCGTGCATTTTTAGTACTATAGGCAACGGTCATAACAATTAATAAAATAAATAAATACTATTTTGCCTTTGGTGCAAACCTTATGATTTTATGAATTGTGTTTGTTGTGTGAAGAGTGTAAATGAAGCATGATGACCCGGTTAGACAAAAGCTCGATCTTGAAGTTTGCCCAATGTTTCTATATTAGTCCAACTCGTTCCCATATTAGTCCGACTCTTCACCTTTTCGTCATAAATTAGAAAAATAAAAATAAAGTAATAATAATAATATTGGATGAAGTTGTTAATTTCAACTCAATAAATATGTGATGTGTGAAGCATTTTTTCATAATGGTGCATTTGTTCAGGAGACTCATAATCTATCCCGATGGGAACGAGAGCCAAGATAAAGGCAATCATGTTTCCGTATACCTAGCCATGGCCGACACTAGCTCATTACCCGTAGATTGGGAGATTGATGCTATCTTCTCCATCTTTCTCTACAATCAGATCTCAGACAAATATCTATGTTATCGAGGTATACACGAACAAATTTATTTCTTATTTTCGGCTCTATGCTTTCTAACGCTTTATCTTTTATGAACTTGGCCAGTAAGTTTCAATGAAACAAAGTTTATGTGGGGATTTCCCAAATTAATCTCTAAGAAAAAACTGCGAGATCAATCAAATGGATATCTCGTTCATGACACCTTGGTTCTTGGAGCTGAAGTATTTGTCTGCAAAAGACAACAACGAGTCACTGAGAGTGTAACTCTGCATAGACCTACAAAATCGCCACAAAAACGTGAATGGAAGATTGAAGGGTTCTCTAAATTGGGAAATGATCCTTGGTTTTCTGAAGAATTCACCATAATAAGTCTCGATTGGTATAGTTCTCTTTCAATTATTTTTGTCAAGTACTTTACTTGTCTTTCCTATTCTTATTTTAAGTTTATCTTCTTCCAACTCAGGAAGATGAGGCTATATCCAAATGGATATCAGAGTTCAAAAGGTCGTGCAATGTCAATGTTTTTGACATGTGTTAGTGCCAAACATTTTGATGCTCATACAAAAGTGAAGGTACGGTTTATCGTGAGTGTAAAAGGCGGGTCCAATTCTGATGCTCGCTACAACACTGAAAACTGTAAGTTGTATATACCTCCACAGTTGCACTTGTTTGTAAACCATTTATGTGTTTTTTTTTTTCCTTTCTAATTGATTACTTATATTTTCATCTATAACTAGATATTTCAAAAAATATGATATTCTTGAAAACCCTAATAATTTTAAAAAAAGCATAAACTATGTTTGATCTTGCAAAATGCATGTCGGTTAATTGTACAAACAAAGATGGATGAATTAGAAGAATTTATTTGTAATTGTAATATTAATATTGATAAATGGTTTCCTTGTTACAGTGAATGAATGGTTTACATCTTCGAATAGGAGTTGGGGACAATTGGAATTCATTGAACATGATGAATTGCAGGGTTTCATTGTTGACGATTGCTTCACTCTAGAAGTAAATATTTGTGTGCAACTTATTGTGCTATAAACTATGTCGCAAGATCGATTTGGTTCAACTACAAGTGAGAAATTAGGCAACAGCGTACCCCCAAGTATTTCCCCTTTTTTATATATATATATATGCTTATTTCAATTAACTAAAGTTCATCTAGCCAAAGTTTAATTTTCTACAAGTCTTTTGACTCTATATCTTTTAATTAATAATGGTGTGAATACCTTAACCTTGGTTTAATCCTGTATAACTGAAGTGATAATCAAACTCTTTTTTGAAGCAAAACAATGAATTTTAAAGTACTCGATCGTGATACACGTCTTAGAAATTCCACAGGGGCAATTTTTGCAGTTTACTCAGAAGAGAATTTATGAATTCGGTACAATCGGCCGAATGGGGAGGTAAAAGAGGGCCCTCCAAAGTCCAAAGAGTCATCAAAAGTTATAGAAGCAAGCGAATGAACAAAAGGTGATTACCCTGTCTCTTAGCAAACGAAAAATTGACGAGAACGAAAAAACGAAACCAAAAGAGTCGGTCGACAACTGCCATCTCGCCGCCTACTGGAACCTGCATTAATATCCGAGCCACATACACCGGCCAGAATACGGAGAGTTCAACAACTCAAACATTCCAAGTGCCCTACCTAGGACCTTCCATGGTACCTCCTTCCTCAGATTTTTACTAAAATAAATAAAAAACCAATACAAATATTATTTGTTAATTAATGATTCAATCCAAACAAGTTCAACGACTGATCTGTAACTTTTAAAAATTGGTACCAAAGTGGCGTCCATTCATTCGATTTTTATAAAAATGAAGATCAATATTCAATACAAATATATTTAGAAATATTAAGTGAACTGATTGTAGATACAAACATGTTAACATAAATTACAATTTGAAGGTTTATCTATTCTTTTACTAGTAATAAACAATATTTTTTACATAATATTAAAAGACAAATTTATAATATTTTTAGCTAGCGGCCTGCTAAAGTATAGGAACCGTATGAAGATAGGTTTTTTAGGGAAACAAAAAGGGTTGTATTGCGTGCCAAGGCAGATTATATATACGGTTCTATTTATAAATTCTACAGGTATTTTCTGTATTAGGGTTTTTTTTTTCTTTTCTTTTTCTTTTGAGTAAATTCAAGTCCTTTACAAGGTGAAGTAGAGGAAAAAACTCGAACCCTAGACCGTTTACCCTAAATTGTCTGTATTAGGGTTAGGCAAAACGAACAAGGCAAATATTAGGGTTAGGCAAAACGAACAAGTCAAAATGATGAAGACTGTGTTGATGGTTTCTTTGGCCTCTCCGCTGCTTTATGGTGTAGGTTCGTTTATAACAAGATCAAAATCCGTCGCAAGTTCGATTTGGTCCGACTACTTCAAGCCGCCGCTAAACCCCGTTTCATGTTCAACAGATGGCCACGGTCCGTAATTTTACTTCTTTGTTTACAATTATATATACCCATCCTTCATTTACTCATTTGTTCTTTTCTTTTTTTTTCCAGAATTTATTATGTTGGAAACGAGAGATGCTCCACCTGCACACTTCCTCACCAAAATTGAATCTTTTTCCTTACTTTCTGAGTATCGTATTTCAAAATACGAATCTAAAGTATTTGAAGTTGATGGTTACAAATGGTACCTTAGCTATTCAAACATATATTAATTATGTAGCTAGTTAATTATTGAATAACGAAACTTTTAATTTCAACACAACTAACATATATATGATTCATGTTGAATTTCTTCAGGAGACTCGTAATTTATCCTAACGGGGATGAGGGTCAAATTAAGGGCAACAATGTTTCCGTATATTTAGCCATGGCTGACACTAGTTCGTTGCCTGTAGATTGGGAGATATATGCCGATTTCACCATCTTTCTCTATGATCAGTTTTCGGATAATTATTTATGTTTTAGAGGTAATTACTATGGACCTAGACAAATGTTGTTTTCTTCTAATTAAAAGTAATTAGACAGTTTCTTATTGTTGTTTTTAATCTTGTTGGCCAGGAAATGTGAGGCGCTTTCACGCAACTAAATCCAAATGGGGATTTCCCAAATTTATGTCTAAGAAAAGTTTGAGAGATCAATCGAGCGGATACCTTGTTAAGGATAACCTTGTGCTTGGAGCTGAAGTTTTTGTCATGAAAAAACAACGAATCGTTGAGAGTGTGACAGTGCTTAAACCGATGTATACGAGATTACGTGATTGGAAGATTGTTGAATTCTCTAAATTGGAAGGTGTTTGGGTTTCTGAAGAATTCAACATGAGAGATGTTGAGTGGTACTTTCTCTTCCATTCTATTATTTTATCTAGCTACTTCTCTCTCATTTCGATTAAAAAAAATTATTATTTCCTAAAACCGTAGGAAGTTGAAGCTATATCCAAATGGATATTTCGATTCAAATGGAGATGTGAGTTCAAAGGGCAATGCCATGTCAATGAGTTTGGTATGTGTTAGCGCTGAAAAATTTACGGTTCATCAAAAAGTAAAGGCAAAGTTTCACATGCGCCTAAAAGGCAGATCCGACCACGACTCTGGAAAACGTGAGTTATAAGTCTTGGATTTTTGTTAACCTAGTAATTTGTTGGTATAAGAATTGACATATTAACTAGTAAAGGAATTACTACTAGTCTTATCAGTTCAAAAGTTGTTGTAAAATTCTTCTTGTAGTTTCGATCGTCTTTTCGTTTGATTTTTCTTTTGTGGTTAAGTCAAACGGATGGAAAACTAACTTTTATTGTTTGAATAAATATGTTGAAATTCACTATTTTGCTCATGAATTTTTCCGTGTTGCAGTTTCACATTGGTTTACATCTTCGAGTACATGTTGTGGACAAAGTGCATTCATAAGTCTTGCTAAACTGCGAGATCCAGAAAATGGCTTCCTTGTCGATGATTGTTGCACTGTACAGGTAGAGATTTTTGTTCAACTTGTTGCATAGTAAGCGACTAAAGTATTTATTTTACTGGAAAAAATTTAGTTACAAATTTGAGCTTGGATGCTTGAATGCATTTTATTTTCATTATTTATAATTTATATGAATATTTGGCTTCATTATTGTAGTAAAAGTTTTACAGGATAAAGTTTGGATTTGCTGGATTTTCTTATACTTTCTTTCTGTATAAACTAAATGATGTTTTCCTATTTCCTTTTTTCTTTGTTTTTTTTCATGATAGGGTAAATTATAAATGCCTCTTGATGTAAGGTCGATTTAGTAAAAACACCCTCACGTTTTCATAATTACATCCACCCCTGGATATTGTAGATTTCTTACATTAACACCCTTTTAGGGTTAGATGTAAGAAATTTACAAACTATAGGAGGCTATATATAATTTCTCAAAATTAAGGAGTTTTTTGTAATTAAACTTTACCTTAGGGAGGTAGTTGTATTTTATGAAAGTCCATGGTATATTTATGAGGCAATTTGTTACAATGAACTATAATATACGCAAGTCTACAAGAACTGCAATTCGGCAGTTTATTTCATTTTCTAAGGTCTGTTGAAGAACAGTTTGATGGACAAATAATAGGGATGGCAATCGGTCCGTTTTGGGGTGGGTTTGCCTAAATATGAGCATTTAGCTACTAAAAGTATATAAAATTCAGACCTATTCCAACCTATTTTAGCTTAGAGTCACATATCTGCCCTAATCCATACCCCAAATTAAACGGTTTTAACCCGCTAAACCTGTTAACATCAAACAAAAGTTTAATATTTTTTGCTTGTATATTATGATAAAAGAATCTCAAAATTAAAATTAAATATTTTAAAAACCACTACAAGTGAAATTAGGGGGGCAATTGCAACGAAACTTCTACAAGTAAATATTTTTTTTTAATTTTGGGAACAATATTTTTCATTTTGAATCCCGGTTTATGATTTTTCTGACTTTTAGGAATAAGAATATATGCATGATCCAATTTTCGATCCGACTTTAATTTTACGAAAATTCTTCGATTTTTTTCATGTTATATAACATGTGTGAACAGAAAACAGAATTTTCGGTGTTTCTTCGATTTACATGAGTTCTCAACTTCGGAACACATTTTGTTCCAATTTGAAGTTGATTTTTCACTTCCGTAAATATTGGAATTTTAATATGTCCGATCACCACCACCTCATTTGCAATATTGGGTAAATTATACTCAAATGTCAAATTACGAAAAACTCCTTCATGTTTAGGTAATTACAATCACTCCCATCAATTATAAATCTTCTAGATTACATGAATGTTCTCTAGTTTGTACTCGTTTTGTGCAAAAAGGCAATTTCTGATGCACCACAATTTGATATTTACAAGCCTAAGAGGCACATTTTATGATCATCTTGTTTATAAAATGTGGAGCTCCAACGTGATCAAACGTGATCAAACGGGTACAACTGAAAAAATATTCCACATAATTTAGAAGATTCCACTAAATTCGACATCACAATAGCGAACGTGTAAAAAGATTCATAGTTGAGGGGTGATTGTAATTACCAAAACATAAAAGGATTTTTTCATAATATGACTTTGTCTCATGAGGGTGCGTGTAATTTACCCTTGCAATATTTGTTCTACTACAATGTAAATTAATTGTCATTATCATATTCTTCCACCGAATTTTGAGTTGATAATTTTTGAGGAAGTGTATATATACAAACAATACATAATCATTTAATTATCAAAAAAAAAACAATACATAATCATTTAATGTCTAATATATAAGAGGTTTGCTTAGAATGAAGGGTAAATTCCAATTTTTTTTTTTTTTTTTACTTTGGTTTGGTATTACTTTACCCCTTTCTACTCTCGATTACATCGATTTGCTCCCTACACTTAAAAAATTGTCTCAATGTGACCATCGTTGTTAGTTGTCACCTTAACATCGTTTGACATAAGCTCCGAAATTACAAAAACGTCACATCTCCTAGTTTAAATAATTATTAAAAAAATGAGAAAAAATTAATAATAATAAATTCAAGACAACGAGAAAACATAGTTCACGACGCCAGCCACAATTTATTTTTAGTTTTTTTAATAATTATTTAAACTAAGAGTTGTGGTTTTTTTGAAATTTTCAGATTTATATCAAAAGATGTTAAGGTCAAAGGTCTGAAAACTAATGGCGAGGTTCACATTGAGACAATTGTTCAAGTAAATGGGGCAAATTGATGCAATCGAGAGTAGAAGGGGGTAAAGTGATATCGAGCCAAAGTACAAGGGGAAAAGTGAAATTTACCCTAGAATGATTAAAGTAAGTCGCGTTTCCACTTTTAAGTTGCAATAATAATATAAGCGAAAACCCGTTTTCAGAAATGTAAATCGAAACAAGTGTGTCTTCTCCGGCGACAATGAGAATCTTACACAGATTCACCACCCAATTCACGCGCGGCCCATTCACCGCCGCAACCCAAACCCGTTTCAAGAAACCCGCCAACACCGCCCAGACCCGCCTCGAGACCCGCACCCGCGACCTCAAACTCGACCTCCTCGCCTTCCACCACCGCCGCCTCGCCCTCGTCCTCAGCCTCCACACCCTCGTCTCCGCCAAGAAACGCGGCCCCTTCATCTCCCTCAACCTCCTCTCCCGGTGGGCCCCCCACGCCGGCCTCAAAACCCTCACCGCCGGCGAATTCCTCCGCAAATACCCACACGTCTTCGAGGTGTTCACCGACCCCGTCAGAAGAAACCAATGCTGCAAATTCACCCCCAATTTCGTCCAATTGATAAACCTCGAAAACGAAACCCTAACCCTAACGGAACACACCAACGTCGTCAAAATCAAGAAAATCCTCTCCATGTCGGTCACCAGAAGAATCCACCTCCACGCAATCAGACTCATCAGACGTGAATTAGGGCTACCCGAAAACTTCCGCGATTCGATAATCAAGAAACACCACGACACGTTCCGAATGATAGATGCCGAGACATTCGAACTAATCGAACCGAACGAAAACGAAGAAGCCCCGGTTGTTTTCTCGGCAGAGGTCGAAAAATGGAGGGAAAACGAGTTCGAACAGAAGTGGCTAAGCGAATTCGAGACGAAATACGCGTTCCCGATTAATTTCCCAACAGGGTTCAAGATCGTCCGAGGGTTTAAGGAGAAATTAAAGAATTGGCAGAGGCTTTCGTACGTGAAGCCATACGAAAAAATCGAAAAAGTTCGAGTCCGTACATGTGGAGGGGTGGATAGGTACGAGAAACGGGCGGTGGGAGTTATACACGAGCTTTTGTGCTTGACGGTGGAGAAAATGGTGGAGGTGGAGAGGTTGGTTCATTTTAAGAAGGATTTAGGTTTGGAAGTTGTTAATTTGCGCGAGCTTATTTTGAAGCATCCCGGGATTTTTTACATTTCGACGAGAGGGAGCTATCAGTTTGTTTTTTTGAGGGAGAAATATTGTAGGGGTTGTTTGGTCGAAACGGATGCGGTTTTCGATGTTCGGAGGAAGATGTTGGAGCTTATGTTGTTGGGTTGTCGGAATACTAGAATCTTGAAAGAGCAACAAGACGACGGAAGATGTGTAGCCAATGAAGAAACTGTCACAAGAAGGGATGGTGATTTTGTTCTTCCAATTTTAGAGTGTCAATTTAGAAAATAATCATGGTTGTGATGTCAAAGACTATGGTGATTAATCCAAATTAGAGCTCGATTCGCTTCGTTATTAGTACTTATTACACGTAAAACGTGTACGAATCTAACTATGTAGCACAAAGCAATGCAAACCAAACCTGAAATATTACAAGCATTTATTGATGTAATGCAAACCAACAATCCTTAATCTAACAAATAAGAAGGTCAATCGAAATATGCCTGATCCGACGAAAATATCCAAATATATAGATCAAAACCAACGGAGAAAAAAAAACAGTTAGGTTGTATCAAAATACAAATACGAACAAGAGAACGACAAATGCCACTTGAGAACCAACTAGCCTCTCTATCGAATTCACGTCTCACTAATGCAAACCAACAATCCTTAAATCTAACATATAAAAAACAAGTGTTTAAATACCAAAATCAGACAAACATATGCAACTCGGGCCTACAGAAGACATTGCTCTCTTCATCCTCCAGCACAGGATAAGCAGCCACGAGTGCATCCTGAGCGCCGATATAGAGCGAATTATAGATCTTCCAGTACACTTCTCTAACCTTCCTCGCCGGATGAAACAGCCCCTGCAGACAGTAGTTCAGCACAACTGCCGCCCCCAAAGCCACCCTCATCCCTTCAATAGCTTCAGTCACAGCGTTTATTACATGTGGTGATGTCTCGAAAATGTTGGGCCAGACAAAATTCATAAGATGGACCAAAGCATCCTCGCACCCGAGACCAGCTACACCCAATGCCATGTGCTTCACAGCTGAAGCAGCGGTTTGCCTGTGAACCAAATCTCTGTCCATTAGAGCATCCTCTAGTAATGGAGTTACTGCATATATGTAATCTTTTCCCATCTCCCCAATATACTCGAACAGGAAAGAGAGCGATTTTAAAACACCGTTCTGAACATTAAGCTCCGGCACACGGTACTCATTCATTAAAGCGGGCAGAACCGTAAAAGGCGAGCAAGTTTCCGCGACGATTGCTATTGCCACTGTTGTGCAGACACGGTTCTGACGTTCTTGCACCTTAAGGTTGTTCAACAATGTTGCAAGAACGTCTTGTGGGCCAATAGCTTTTGCAATGTAGCCAAAAGTGTTCACGGTAGCTCTACGAATACCCTTCTTGTGCGCTTTGAGCATCTCCAAAAGCTCGAAGCATATCCTCATCCACTCACGTGCAGGCACAAACTCGGGCCCACGATCGGCAATTCTTCCTACAAGATCGATGCAGTTCTCTTGGACCTTCTCGTGCCTATTTTTCAAGATTGGAGTCAGTCGGGGAAGTAAATCTTTGATTGGCGGTGTCATCTTTGTCATACCGATAACATTGACAATAGACTTGAGAGCACCCAATATCGAACCCAAAACTTCTGGATATTCCTCCCCCAAATACTCGTACAATACGACACCAAGATGGCCCATCAATTGTTCTTCTGCACACTGTTTCATAACAACTGCAATCCTAGATATAAGATCTGCTGCTTGTTGTCTGACTTTGGCGCTCTTATTGTTGAGCCTCCATTTTATGGTACCACATATCTGAGGAAGATATGGCTTCACTCTCTGACCAAGGGAGTTCACAACAGCACCAAACCCGTTAAGCATGACATTGGCATCATCACTCGTCTGCTCTTGGAATGCATAGAGAATTCCATCGATTAACAGTTCTTCTAAACGAGCATCAATATCTGATGAACCCAGGTCTGCAACCACTTTCTCGATTGTCTCCATAACCATCCTTCTATAGGGCTCGCTTTCGTCTTTCAGGTCTTCAACAATTCTGCCAACTATATCGGCCACACCAACTTTGTTAGCTATCTCCACAGTTGTTTCAACAAGCTGCTTGTAGTTTCTCCTATCCAGAGCCATTCTCCGTACCCAGAAATTACGGAAGAACTCTGGAAGAATATCGTTTCTGATGTAATCCGGCTCCACACCTTCAGTACTCACACACTGCTTCACCACTTTTAAAACAATCTTCTTCATCTCTTCATCCGGTGACTGGAATTCACGGATTAGAATAACCATAACTTCCTTGGTGTAGTAGCTGGCATATATTGCATCCATGAGTGGTATGATAAAACCAATGGCCTTCAAAAACGCAGCCAACACTTTCCCACGATGGGACCTGATACCCTTCCATAAAGGCTTCAACACTGAGTCAAAGCTTTCAATACCATAAGGGGCAGCAGCTTCAGCCAGAGCCGCCAAAGACAAGGCTGTAATGGTCCTAACTTTCTGATTTTCATCATTAAGCCCGTGCTCGATAATTTCAACGAGGGACCTCAAGTGCGGAAGAACAGCACACCCAATCAAAATTGCAATCTGCTGAACAATCTTGATACCCGTGTGACGAGCTTGCCATGATTTCTTACTCTGACAGACAGCTTTCAGAAACGGCAGCAATGCAGGAATACCAAGGGCAGAGGCAACAACACTAAAAGCTCTAGCTGTGGTGTTCCTAACATATTCATCGATGTTATCGATGTCCGGACGCATTGCAGCAATCATAGTGGCCAATCCAGCAGCCTTGCTCAGATTTGAGATGATCTCTCTACCTTCGACACGAGCATAGTAATCCTCATCGATCAACAGAGGCTCGATAACCACCAAAATTTTGTGGACATATGGACGAACCAACTCATCCAACTTATAGAGCACCCTGTCAATAACTTTCACCAACAAGTGCCTCTCCTGGTCTTCGAGCGTGGGCTGCATAAGCAGTGGCAGAATACGGTTAAACAGTGGCCCAGCACCAAATTCTCTTGCCTTATCCGTGAGCTGTCTCAAAGCAGTTTTTCTCTGTGGAGGAGTGCCATTTTTCACTTTCAGCAAGAGTTTCATAATCTTTCGCTCTTTCTGCTCGTCTGGAGATAACTCCTCCTCCTCGTCTTCATTTAGCAGCGAACCGAAGTACTGATAATCTTCAGGTTTCATAAACGGCAAACCACCAGGTAACTCTTTAGGCACATCAAACTGCTGGCCTCGATTTTCTTCCGGAATGTTATAAAGAGGTGTCCCCATTGGAGTGGGTGTAGCCAGAAGTTTCCGAGCCGGAGTTCGGATAGGAACATACGAGGAAGGAGGGTCCAAAACCTTGTACCCATCTTCTGGAAACATTGAATCAAGCTCCTCATCAGTTAATGGCCTATTCCTTTCCTCGATATCCTTCTCCCACCTCAATAAGTTATACTGCTCGGGGGTCATCGCGCTTCGCATTATAGCATTCGGTGTAGGGGTAGCCATATCAGCACCACCAAAAGGAGTGACGCCGGGGGTGTGAGCTACAGCAGGTGTTGCACCAGGTGTAGCACTGCCCATAGTTGCCGGAGTTTCATCCCACCTCGACCTTTGCTTCTTGGGAGTTGGAGTAGCAAGTCCTCCCAGCTTTGGTGTAGCATCCCAAGTCATACCCGCAGGCGTTGCTCCAGGTGTCACCCCTCCAGCAGGGGTTGCATCGGAGTCATTCACTCGCCCTGGAGTTGGAGTTTCGTCCCATCTATTCCTTCTAGAAACCGACGGTGTTGCGTCGCCGATTCTGCCAGGTGTCGGCGTTGCATCCCACCTCCCCATTCCAGGTGCCGATTCAGGCATATCCTCCCATTCGGAACCTGACTTGGCCTTCTTTCCAGCGGCATTCTCATCTTGCGGCATATCCCATCTATTCCTTTTCTTCGGCTTTTCTGTTTCTTTGTCCTTGCCCTTCTCCTTTTCTGCGTTTTTGTCCTTGCCCTTCTCCTTCGGCGCCTCCGCCTCTTCCTTCAACTTCTTTGCTACCTCTCTCTTCACCAGATCCTCTTTCCGCTTCAACATTTCTTCATTCATCACATCACCATAAGTTCTCACATCAGGTCCCGGAGTTTTGTCCAAGAATGGATCGCTCCTCTCCGGAGATAAAACCCTATTTAATCGCCTCCTCCTATAGTCATCTTCCCGGTCGATAATCTTGCCAGGCTGCTTGAACCCTGACATATGGTCATCTTCGCCACTTCTTAAGGGCTCCTTGAAAAACTGTTTTGGTGCAGTGTAAGATGCCATTCTCCGAGCAATCTCGTTCTCCGTTGTATCCGTGTTATCCTCTTCCTCATTCACAGGGATGGATCGCTCATAGCCCTCGAACCTGTTTGAGCTATAGAGATCCTGGTCAAACGTAAGAGTGCCCAGTTCAGCAATTTGCTTCTCCATTTTTTCCCTCTCTTCTCTGGCCTTCTGAATCTCTTTGTCCGAATCCATTGCCGTTCAGTTGGAACTAAAAAAATACAAACCCTTAAATTCGAACACCAGCAGACAATAATCAAAACCAGCAAGTGCTTCAAGAGAAACCGCCTGCAAATCCAATAACCGGAAAATCAGTAAAATTAAAGAACAGAAAGAAAACTAATCTGGATAGGATACTTATATCAAACGACACCGAGACACCGAATTACGATGAGAAGGAGAAAAAAAAACTAAAGTTCCTACTCTTTTATCAATTACCTACAAGTCCCAAGCCCTAATTAAGCACTAATCACCCACCAAATACGCAAAGGCCCTGAATTGTACTACCGGCAGACAAAAATCAAAACCAGCACGAAATTGAAGAGAAACCCACCTGCAAATCCAAAAACAGTCAAGATAAAAAAGAGGGAAAAAAATCTTAATTGGATTATTGCATCAAACTATACCAAATTACGATGGGAAAAGCTCTTACTCTTCTATGAATTACGGACATGTTGCAAACCCTAGTAAACCCTAATCACCCACCAATTACGCAGAAAAAAAAACATATATTACACCACTAATAGATACAAAAGCATGCAGCATAAACTGGAGTACTAATTAATCTGTAAACGTAAAACAGTTTGAAGAATTGGGGAATTCAACTGACCTAGGGATTTTCTTCTGTGGTGTTGAATCGTGATTGGGAGAGAGAGAGAGAGAGAGAGAAAAAAAAGATCGGTGTTTAAATTGGAACCCTACCGACTAAATGGGGCGGGCAACCCACTTTGTCGGTTTGTACTTTCGGGTTTTGATTTTCAACCCGACCCGCTTACATATGTATGGGCCGGGTTTAGTTATGTGTTTGATAAGAGTGCTCTAGTTGTATTCCAATTAATGTTTTGTATCCACTAATTTCAATTGGGCCAATTTGATATAAGAGCCTCTATTTTCCCTAGCCTTACATTGGTACCACACATAAGATTAATTAAAATTGGAAATAAATTAATTAATAATTATGTAAATAGTACTAATTGCGTATTAAAAAATTGAAAATAATAATAATAATAATTTTATAAAGTATTAGTAAATGTACAAATTAATAACTATTAATTTATCGACACTTTAATATTCAGTAAAATTAATAGAATTTTGATGGTCCCAATTATTAATTTATTGAGGTTTAACTGATTAAAAATATATAAAAGTCATTTAATTTTTTTTTATTTTTTTTGATATACCAAAAACATAATAAATTTCAAACTACATGCAAGTCCTTTTCCATTGAAGTATTGTTGTGGTGTTTTCTAGTTTGTCCATTTATGGAGGACTTAGTGGGAAGGTCAAATTGGTTTATTTTATTATCTAAGAAGAAAGCATAATGGAAAGTAAAAAATAAATTTATATAATTTATTGCTTTTAGACCAAGTCATCCATATTATTAACTCTAACCTTTTATGAATCAATAGTTGGAGCAGTTATGTAGTATTTGTCAGCCTCATATAATTAAGAGAAAAAAGAAAAGGATAGAATTCAAATATCAAAATTAAGAGAAAGAAAAAAGTAAAGATATAAAGTTATTATTAAGAGGGTTTTGATTAAGCTATACACTGTTAAAAAGAGTTTATTAGACATTTAAGAATATAAGTTCTTTCAAAGTGTTTGGTAATTAAAAAAAATCTTAAAAATTCAAAAAGGCCCGTTTGGTTAAGCTTATTTAAAATAGCTGATAAACGCTTATATTTGATAAGTTATTATAAGAGCTGATAAGTTGTTATATCTTATTTTTAGAATTAATTCTTAAAGTGTTTGGGAGATGAACTTATAAACTATTTTTAAAAAAATGTGTTGTGGATTTATTTTTTAGAAAAGATCTTAATTGTTCTCCACCAACTTATTTGTTGAATTTTTAAGATTTTTTTTTTAAATTATCAAACACTATAAAAGAGCTTATAAATTTACCTAAACATCATCTTAATTGACCCGAAAATATTTATTATAACATCATATATCGATGTCAAGTTTGACTGGGGTTTGCCCGCATGGGTGTAGCTCAACTGGTTCCGGAGGTGGTAAGTTGGTGCAAGGTCTTAGGATCGAATCCAAGCAGCCGCAGTGTGGGAATTTCAACTCCAAATGAGGGTTGGTTCCTTGTGGGCACCAGGTCCGGGTCCGCTACCTTAACGGGCCGTTGAGTTACCATGATTTACATCCTCCATCAATCCTTGTCGGGCCAAGGGATGGGGGCCCTGGGGGCGAGGGATTCGCCTTTTTGGTGCAAGTTTGACTGGGGTTTTGTACGTATACTCGAGTCTTGCTTGACATTATATTATACCATACATCAGAATTATAATTGTTTGTTTACTTTTTTTCCTTTTGTGATATGTACACATACCAAAACAAATTTTGGATATATTATTAGTGGCTACAAATAAAATTATTTAATTGAAATTGGATTATGAAAGTGATACACTAAGATTTACTATGCTTGGTTCGATTTCCATCTCATTTTATTATTTCCCGAATATGAATTTAATCATTTATGTTTGCTAAGATTTTATTTTATTAAATTCCACAAAAAATTCTAAAAATTTATATCCACTCCATCAATTGTTAGACTGCTATAGTAAAAACATTGGACTGCTACACAAAAAAAAACATCATCTAAGTACTTCACAAAATTATAAAATTAAAACTTAATATTTGATGTGAAAACATTGAGAGGGTGTTTGGCTAAGCTTATAAGATGTTAAAATGAGCTTATAAGAGGTTTTAGAGCTTATAAGCTCTTCCAAAGTGTTTGGCAAATTTTTAAAAAACATCTTATTTTTTTATAAAATAAGTTGTTGGAGAGCAAATAAGATCTTTTTAGAAAAGTACATTTGTCCTACATGTTTATTTAAGATCTTATAAGGAGTAAAAATATGCTCATTATCCAAACACTCTAAAAATTAATCATAAAAATAAAATGTAACAGTTTATCAACTCTTAAAATATCTTATCAGACGTAAAAGCTTATCAGCTTTTAAAATAAGCTTAGCCAAACACACCCTCTGAGTCATGACTCATGAGTCATCCCATAATTCTTTCTTGAAGTAATAAATAGATATCTTATTCTTACCAAGAATTAGGTGGACTTATTCAACGTGTGGACTCCCACATGTACACATACAAGCAACTTTCAATCAGGAAAAGTCAACATTCAACAATAGCCGTCTGATTATAGGTTGGGAGTATTGGACGGCGGATGTGGCCGTACCGAGTGGACACGCGTCATCACAGCTGGATTTGTCATTAAATGTGGTATGGGCCAATTGATTAATTGTAAAAAAATTGAAGGGCCACTTTGTGGTGATTTGTTACGTAGAAATTGTAGTCATTAATTGGGCCAAAAGTAAAAGGGCAATATTACTTAATCAGCCCCTTCATTTTGGACATTATTTCATACTAGTCCCATAAATTTCAATTTCAATACATTCAAGTTTTAACAAGATGCCTCAATTTTTTTTTCCTAGCTTGCAATATTCAATTAAACTATCAAATAATTTAGTAGTGGCACAAATATTTGTTATATATTAGGTGAACTAAATTGGGAGTACATATTCGAACATCTAGATTGTAGAGGCTAATAACATGTTTGGTTGATAAATTCGTATTAACTCATCAAACACTACAAAAATTAAAAATACTATTATTTAATTAAACTAATAGCACCCATTCCCCTGAGCTTAATTTTATGCCGAGTGATATATCACTAGAGGAAAAAACTACTTTATCCTTCAAATTGCATGTTAATTTTGTTAAATAAAATGTTTTTTTATAAACAAATCACATATTATACCAGAATTTAACTGATTTAATACAAGATCTAATTTAATGAACCGAATCTCTTACATTTTTACTAACTAAATAATCAATGAGTCAATAAAAAAATAAATTACCATCTAACGTTAACTAACCCGATATAAGTAATCGAGCGAGCCATATAGATTGTAATAATTAATTGACTTTAATCCCACTCTGTACCTTACAAAAGGAAGGAGTTTATACGGTGAAAGTGAAGTTTAGGGTGTGAATTTGAGATGTTTCTAAAAGATAAGGGACTATTTATTTTGCCAACAAGAAAACAAAGAAATTGTAGTCAAGTCAATTGGAAAGGGACAAGGTAGTACAATCAAGTACAGCATCCGTTATTTGACTCGATGAACTATTCAACTCGATGAACTCATCTTTTTACCATTACCTATATGATGCAAAAATCGAAACAATACAAAAATAAATAAATGTATATAATTTTCAAGTTTGGTTAGTCTTTTTTTTTTTCCTTTCACTTTGTACATTCATTTTCTTTTTTAATATCGCCCCCCACCCCCAAAAGAATACAAATAGAAAGACAAAAATGTTTTTATTAAGGGTAAATTACGGACACCCATGAGTTATAGTTAAATTACAAAATTCCCCTTATGTTTGGGTAATTAAAGCCACCCCTCAATTATGTATTATCTTACGAAAATACTCTTCCATAGGTAAATTTAGGGGTGTTAAATCAGTAAAATCGAATCGAAATTTCGGTACGCCAACATCGTTTACCGAACTGAATATGCGATTTGGTTCGATAATACCGAATTATATAAATTTTATGTAAAAATATTCAAAAGGATGGGGTGGCTGTAAATATCTAAACAAGAAATGTTTTTATTTTTTTTTTAATTTGGCCATGACTCAGGGGTTGGCTTTAATTTGCCATTTTATTAATTTTGGGGCAAATTACAGCCACCTATCAGGTAAGTTCAAATTACGAAAAAAATTATCTTGTTTGGGTAACTACAACCAAACCCCTCAACTAAGTATTGCCTCACGAAAAAAACCTCAATTTCAGTACATAAATTTGACACCGTAAGAATCGACGGGAAATTAAAAAATTACATAGTTGAGGAAAGTGTTTGTAATTACTCAAACAATAAATGTTTTTTTTCGTAATTTGGCCTTATCTCAATGGATGCCCGTAATTTGCTCTTAATTTTCACAAACTCAAATTGAGGTGCATTATGAATGACATATTATTTTTCGAAAGTAACAAATGTGATTATTATTTTATTTTATTTTTAGAATGTAAAATTGATCTAAACCTGAATATTAACAACCCTAAAAGAAAATTTTGGAACGGTGGTACTATGTTTTCTATTTAGAATTTAAATCATTTATGCATGATCAATTTCATGGTTATTTATTTAATTAATTTAAATATTCTTTTTATATGTCAACTATATGCCATGCTTAGGTCTTTTACTAGTAAACATTGGGCTGCACTATGGGATTTACATATGTTGACCCTGGTTACGTTATCACCTGCATTATATAACAAATATAAGTCGTATAATTAATTAATTAATTAATAAATACACCAAAATGTATTGTTTTTTAACAATATATAATATAATATAGGTCAATTTGAATTAATTGATATAATATAATGCTGAAATGATACATGGATTCACGAGCTTCACCAATTTATATTTATACAGGACAAAATCGTGACCCAAGTCAACCTAATGCTGTTACCTAACATGTTATAATGTTTATTTTATATATTCTGATGATACTTTTGACTTCAGCTACCATTTGAATGAGTATATATCTATTTTTAATTTACTGCATTTTTTGAAATTTAAAAAAAATTAAACGAAATAAAAAATAAAAAAATAAAAAGAGGAATTTGATTTCAAACGGCATGATTGTGAGAAGACACATCAATGAATTTATTAAGTTTGGTATAACAATTTGGACTAGTTAATTTCTTCATCATAGGTTTGAAAAATGGTCGAATAATCCTACCGGCTATTGCAGCCAGTTTTCCGAGGCGGCCGATTATTCGATTACCGAAATGAAAACAGTCCAATACTTTTACGATTTTGGCGTAGATATTTAAAAAATCGTTCAGTTGCAAGTAGTTTGAGGCAGTCCGAGCAATCAAATATTAGATAAAGAGATGAAAAATTAGCATTTCTCAATCCATATATACCAAACATATTACTATATATATATATCAAAAAGCAATGAGGATAATTTAGTGTATATATATCAGCTGCTTATATAATTGAGAATCTAAATCATTCGCCTGTGATCCAATAGAACGTCACCTTTAATGTAACAATTAATAATTTAATACTCAATTATGCATCAAGTTTATGAAGAAAGGCAATAAATTACAGCAATTCATGTAAATAACACATCACAATGGAAAAAAAAAAAAAAAAAAAAAGAAATAACAAAATTAAAAAACAGAGTTACATCCTTACACGCCGAGATGACCTACCGCTATTCCCCCCACCCCACCCCACCCCCACCCCAAGATATTAACAGATCTTTCCCTTTTTACCCCTCGCTAAGTTTTCTGCAGGCTAAATGGGAACCAACAAAATAGGGAACCAAAATTACAATTTACTCCTCGTAACAAACTACATGACTTTCCACGACTCGAGAGTGGGAAAGCTACAAAAGGAGTCAAAGTCAATCCCACTCGCGCTCCCGCCGCCGTAGGCGGTGGCGGTGAGCGGCTGCGCCGCCAGTGACGAGGCGGAGCCGTCCAGGAAAAAAGCTGACGTGTCAAACGTCGTCGGCAAGCCGATGTCCGGATAAAGCCGGTTCTGGTTCGCGACCCTGTGTGGCTCGGGCTTCAGCACCGGGGCGACCGGCAGCTGCCCGTTCAAGGCGGCGAATCTCACGCCGGTCACCTGCTGCACCATCTGCCTGAAATTCGCCGGATCCGCGTTGATAAACGTCGTCGTCGCTCGCTTCGACGCCCGCGACTTCCGCTTCGCGACCCTGCCGCCGCTCGGCGGCAGACTGCGCCGCCGCTTAGATACTACGGCGTCGTTCTCCGATCCGCCGGAAGCCGTCGGAGTCTGAATCGGCGCCACCTCCGGTTTGGCGTAGAGAGACTCGACCATTTCAGCCGAGAATGCGCCGCCGCCGCCGTCGGAGGAGGTGGTGGTGGTGTCGAATGACTTTTGCAGAGCCTTCGTCAGCGTATCCGTTTCCTTCGTGAAGATATCGGAGATCCAAGCGTCGGCGAATGTAGGGCGGAACGACCACGGCTGCTCCATCGTCATCAAATTATCGTAGGACGCCATTTTTTCCGATCAAAAGCAAAATTGAAGCAGCAAAACCAAACAACAATGATACAAAATCAGAATTCCTTCTCACTCAAAAATTGAAGAGGGGAGAGCTAATTTGGTGTGTACTGATACTATACTGATATAAAATGTTTTTGTTTGATGAGAGAGAAAATGAGGAAGAGAGAGAAAGGGGGGATGTATGAGGAGAGTAGAAATGGGGGCGATGGGGGTCAATAAATAGGGCGGTGGTGTGAGGAAGGAACCGCGTCTCTTGGGACACGCGGCAGTTAACATGTACGGAAATTAAACCATGGTTTAAAACTTGTGATTTATTAAATTATATTACTATTTTTTTTAATGGGAAGGATATTTTGACTGTGGAGAGAGTGTAATCTGCAAGAGCTAATTAAGTAGCTACAGTGCTTAACAGTGGAGCCGGTCGTATCGGCGCGGTAGCAGTTGCTGTTGCTGTTGCCGTTGCCGTTATCTAACTGCCCATTTAAGTGTAAATTGTTTATTTTGCATATTGTTTTTTGGGTAAATTTCACATTCCCGAGTTGTACTTTGGTTTGGTATCACTTTATCCCTTTCTACTCTCAATTGCATTGATTTGCTCTATGTAATTGAGAAAATTTGTTGTTATGTGGCTCTTGACGTTAGTTATCAGACATTTGACCTTAACACCGTTTAATCTAAGCTCTGAAATTACAAAAATGTCACCCCTCCCAATTTAAATAATTATTAAAAAAACAAATAACAAAATCATCTTAGAAAAAAAAACCCTTATTATTTCATAACTAATTCCCCTGCAGTTTGTAGATTAAATTAACACCCTTTTATCGAAGATGGATGTGAGAAATTTATACATAAGGGGCCCAAATATAATTTGTTTTCAATTTTTTTTTTTATAATTACACTTTACTAGCGGTGATCTTAATTTACCCATAAATATGTCATATTAATCTAAACACTTTTGGCGAAAGATAAAAAAAAAAAAAAAAAAAAAAATTGTAATGATAATTTCATCCTTTATAGTAAATCACTACAATAATGAAAATGAAATATTGGAATCTATAGATAAATATAATCCTATACATAGAGCATGGTGTTAGGCCCCATGTGATGTTCCCTTTCACTCTTTATTTGTATCCATTCTATTTCCGTGTGGGTCCTAGAGAATCTTTCTGAATTAATACTACACTTTCAGCCGTAAAATATTATATTGCAATTTTTGACAAAATAAAATTAAAATTTATATTGTGCAAGTTAGGGCTGGCATGGACCGAGTCAGAGTAAAAATACGAACAATCGATTTTGCTGAATATTGAAAATCATTATTGGCACAATCGTCGTAGGCCGGATAGTAGTTAGGAACCGTTTATATTAGATAAAAAATGGTCGGTTAGTTCATATTATCGGCCATCTAATTTTTTTTTTTTTTTTTTATGATGCAATCTTAAAATTAGATTCATTTTCTATATTTATTGGTACTTATAAATAAATGTAAAGATTAATACTATATTGATTATACAATTACTATTACCAACATCTTATTCTATAATTATTCAAATGATATCTCCACATCTTAAAATTATATTATTCTACAGTAGAACATCGATAAATTAATAATTTCGTTTAAATAATGAAAGTTTTCCTCGGTATCAAATCAAGTACAATAGGTTAAAAAAAATATTCGTTAAAACCAATATTTCACTAAATTTATAAAATTTAGTTGTCCATACTGAGTATATATATAATTATTTTCACTATAATTAATTAATATTTTATATATTCATCAATTATAGAATAAAGTAAATAATAAATTCATAATAGTAGCAAAAATAGTAGAGTCAATTAAATTCTAGAAGGAATATCACCTCCATAATTTTGGATTTTAATTAGTATATAATTAAAAAATTAAATCAATCATAAAATTTATTGTCACTGGATTCGGTGAAGAAAAAAGAAAAGTTAAAACAATAACATGAAATTCATGTAGTATAATTTTCAATATGGTAAATAATTGGATAATATTACTGCACACATGGCAGGAAAAAAAATAGTGTCAATTTCCGCAATATAGTAAATTCGAACATGTATCTTTATTTTATACAGATAATGTTAATATATAATATTAAATTAATACAAAAAAACATATTCTCTGGTTATGTTCATGTAAAATGTATATATATTAATATTAAATAATTTATTCTACATATTGTTTTAATATAAATTCAAATTTATTAATTAAAATACAAAATATCCGTAACATCACCCATCATGCAACAATAATAAGAGAAGCCTTTAAATTGAATTTAACTATATTTAAATTAAATTAATTACTTTTAAAATTCAATTAAAAAATAAATCTATTTATAGTTTCCAAGAAAGTTGATATATTTAGAGATTTTATAAATGGCAGAATATAAATATATTAATAAAATAATAAAATATATTTAATTATTTTTAATTTTGGAAATGATGACTTGTTTTTTGATGATTTATTTTTACCAAACAATTTGCCACATGGGATGAAATTGAATGCATGTCACCAATTGAAATTGACAAATGTCAATCAATTAGGTGTGTAATTCAACTTTTATATATTATATAGATTCTACAGTAGAACCTCGATAAATTAATAATCTCGTTTGCATAATAGTTTCTTCGGTATCGAATCAAGGACAATGGGTTAAAAAAATATTCGTTAAACCAATATTTCACTAAATTAATAAAATTTAGTTGTCCATAGTGACTATATATATATATATATATATATATATATATATATATATATATATATATAATTAGTTTCACTATAATTAATTAATATTTTATACATTCATCAATTGTAGAATAAAGTAAACTAGTACTTCACCCGTGCGTTGCACGGATATCAGTTTCAAAATGAGAAAAATAATAACATTTAAACGATTATCTCTTTATAACAACACCAATTTAAGTAAAACAAAATGGAAGGAAATAAAAAAATTATCTCTTAATTCAGAGTTGTAATATTTGAAATTCAATTAAATATTACAAAGAAAAATACGCGAATGGCGCAAAGCACAATATGAAGATTAAGTGAAATAATTTAAAAATATGGTATAAATCTATTTCATTGAATGCAATCTACTACACCATGTGAATCCTCTACAAAATAACTAACTTAACAACAAACACAGTAGCATGGAGGTAACACAACAGATATTCAAATAACTTGCAAGTTTATCACTAACAACATTCAATTAGTGATGCACATTGATCAAACAACTACACAACTTATAAATATTGCAAAAGAGATAAAATGTATACGCCAATACCAATAATATACCAATATTGATATCAATATGATACTAATAATGTAATAAGGGGCCGGTCAGTTGCACCAGTTTTTTTTCATTTTTTTTTTTTTCTTTGGGGGGGGG